TGCTTTAGCCACACACACTGCTGTCAAGGGAGCCCCAGATTTGCCCCTGCCACCGCCTTGTGCACTCCAGAGCAGAGAGAGGCCAGATCTCTGAGGCAAACCGAGCCCCTTGCCAGAGGCCCCACCAGTATTCATAATACTCGAGTGCACTTCCCAGCCCTGGTCCCTCTTTGTTGGGTGGCACTGAGCCCGTGGTGTCTGGAGCTCTTGGAAAAGCCAAAGACCGTGGGCACAACTATTCCTGGGTTCCAGGAGATGCGCCCTGACCTCTTCACCTGACAACCCCGAACCCCCTCACTCCCAGGGCCAGCCTCGGGACTCGGCCCCCAGGAGGCCTCCAGCCAGGTGGGCCTTCAGCCTAGAAAGGGGCGTGTCTTTGTAGGGAAAGAAGGGATCCCAGAAGTTTCCGGCACTTTCCCACCCGCAGTTCGGTTTCCTGGAGATGGGCCCGGGGCCGGCGGGGCTAGGGCTCCTTCCCCCTCCGCCATCCCTGCTCCCTCCCACGTGGCCTGGCGGAGTCTCTCTGGAAAGCCGCAGCAGCTGGAGAGAAATACCCCTCCCCACCCCCACCGCCAAGTCCCTCCCCGACTCGCCCCGGACACATCCTCAGCTCTCCCCTCCGCTGGGAAGGCTAGAACTGGGCGAACAAAGCGGGCAGCCCATCCCCCTTCCTAGCCCTCCTACCTACCACCCCCATGGGCCGCCCCCCAAGCGCACGCGGGACTGGGAGCCAGAGGGCTAGGGGCGCAAGAAGGAGCCCTAGGCTTAGGGACTCCGCACTCCGTCACCCCAGCCCCGGCCCTTTCTCCAGCGTGGACAACTCTGACTCCTACCCCCACCCCGAACTGAGGTGGGAGGTCGGAGGAGGCCTGGCTGACCCCGTTCACGCTCCCCTGATCCGCCCCTGGGGTGGGGGCAGGAGTGACACGCGTCCCATCCCGAGTGCAAGTGTTGGACACCTCCCACAAAAGCAACTGGTTTCCCGCCCCCTCCCTCAGCCCACTCCAGGCCAGGGTTTGGGGGAGCAACACCCCCCCTACGCATACACCAGCCCCGGGGGCCACACCCACTGGGCAAAGTTGAGTGTTTTACCACCACTAACCCTAGTCAATCAGAAATCTCCTGCTGTTTCCCCACCGCCGGCAAGGACACTCCCAAAAGCCAAGGCCAAATATTAGCTCAGCCCCATAAACGCAATGACACACGGTCTCGACACAAATGGAGGTGCAGACACGCACCCCCACAGCCCTGCTCTCTCACACACTCCCAGCCCCGAGACCGCGCGGGCAGCGCAGAGCCCGCCCCGCTCCGGCCAC